TAAGTATAAATGAGAATGTCTTTGCTTTTTTGGAGCTAAAAAGTGCACCAGCTACAGGATTATTAAAGAAGGATATTATGATTTAATGTTGAAAAATATAAAGTACCTGAGCAAGAATCCCCATTAGCATTTGCTTTGTGATGTATCACGGATTGCTACTCAGCAGTGTGCACCTCTTAGCAAGTTATCGTTGCCTGCTATCATAGTGCAGTGCACTCTGGGCATCACACTGTATCAGATGTGACAGGCCAAGATGCTCCTGTTAGCTTTGTGATGCCCGTTCAAATGCTTCATGGGTCCATTAGGAGCAAGCTCTTCTTTTATTATTTACACAGTCAGTGCGGGCTTCAGACATGCTCTCAGTTTAAGTGGAGCTGACACATTGTGAACAACACAGAATTCCATGTGCGAATTATTTTTTTTTAGAGGGAAGATGTGAATATTTTGAGAATTTCCGAATGTTACATGGCTTTTTTTTCATATAGAGGGTGAAATATTTAAAACATCAAAAGTTACTGCTCATGAGTGAAATCTTTGAAGCTCTGTATCTCAGGCGCCCCAGACAGAGCTTTATTACTCTACTCGCAATGTAAAACCACCTCTCCACCTCTCCTCTTCTCTTCTTTCTCCACCCTCCTTTCATCTATCCCGCCCCAAACCCCTTCTCTCTACCCTTACACCCTCTACCCCCACCACTTCTTACATTAAGATGCTGCGGAGGAGTCTAAAGGAGAGGAGGCCACCCCGGCAGATGCAGAGGCGGAGGCCACCGAGTCCAAGGATGCTTAAGTCTAAAGTCTAACTTAATGAAAGCAGAATTAAAAGTATGAAGAATACCACAAAAACGAAAAATCTAAAAAGGTTGCTCTTTGCCTTCTCAATGTGAAGGCAGTCCGTTTCTATTTGTTTGTCATTTTTTGTGTGGCAATGATTTTCTCATGTTGGGGGAGTTTCCAGCGTGAAGTTTTTTGGCTCAAGCTAACACTGTACTATGCGCAAGTGATGACGATGCTGACGACGACGGTGATGATGATGTTGATGTTGCTGATGTTTATGAAAAGCGACTCTTACCGTGATGGTGATGATGTCGAGATGGATGATTTCATTTGGTACATCTTCACTATTTGATGTAAAACCCGGGGGTGGAATGAACGCTTCCAACTGGATATTTACACATTTAAAATTTCAAAAAAAGAATGCATTGCCAATGCGCCGTATTGTATTTGCATTGTAATGCACTTTCTTTCTTCAGACACATTTTGCAAATGAAATCCGTATTGCAAATGCACGCACAAAAAGACAACCAGGTTTATAGATGCAATTCATGTTTTCGACACGATCCAAGTGTACTGAGAACACAACAAAGAGGTAATGTACTGACACACTGAATGGATAATAGAATGTATGATTAAATGTGTGACATTTCCAGTTGGGGCAGCTTTATCCTGAATCCCAAAAACAATATTTACTCAACTTTCTCTATTCTGCTTGAGTCATTCAAGCTTGGTTTACACCCCTTTTACAAACTCTGTTTACTCACAGTTACAGTAAATAAAGGACCTATTGCCATTTAAATGATGTGATCATATAATAAAAACTCTAGAAATCAACTATATTATTGATGTAACTGGCTCTTACATATTACAATTTGTGCTCTGCCAACCAAACGTGAGGCCATAGCATGAACCATTGAACCAGATGCATGATGGGAACTCTCCCTCTGAGAGGAACTTTTTCGCAGTCACAAAAAACTTAAGAGGTGTGGCGGCTTCTTTTTTGATGTCTTTGGTGTTGTTATGACAGTTTATATGAATTGGAAAAATACTCTTGCACTGATGTTACAAAAAAAGATTAAGAGAAAAATCAAACAAATGAGCAAACAACAACAACAAAAAAATTTCCTATGTTCCAGTGAGTGCAATGTCCAGTTTCAATCTTATCGAGGAGTTCAAACTTGTGAGAAAAAAAAATATGAAAAAAATAAAAAATGGTTTCAATGTCTGTTTTCAAAATAAAGCAAATGTGCCAATTACCATCATAAGCTGTGGAGTTTGTTTAAAGCCTGATAGAAACATATTGTCACTTTGAAGCACCCGGCAGTTTCCAATAATCATGTTTATTTTCCACTGAATCCATCACGAAACCACACATGTGTGGTTTTATTATAACTCTTGCCCCATGATAGTTGGGATAGACTCCAGCGCCCACCGCGACCCTGAGGTGGACTAGTGGAAGAAAATGAATGGATAGTATTCCTGTAAGATTAGATGCTCTTGCACCAAACGTACATTAAAACAATACTTACACAGGGAAATACAATTTAATTCAATTCTGTTATGTTTATATAGCCCCAAATCACAACAAAAGCGCTTTACATCGTAAGGTAAAGACCCTACAATAATACAGAGAAGACCCCACCAATTAGATGATCCCTTATGAGCAAGTACTCCCATATCCAAACTGGGAGCTCGTCCCACAGAGAAGAGGCCTGAAAGCTGAAGGCTCCCATTCTAAGTTTAAATACTTTGGAAACCACAAGTAAGCCAGCAGTCAGAGTGCAAAGCGCTCTAATGGGGTAATACTGTACTAGGAAGTCTTTAAGATGAGCCCTGATGAGAAGAAGAAAATATAGGAGAAATATGCTCTCTCCTTCTAGTGCCTGTCAGTACTCATGCTGCAGCATTTTGGATTAACTGAAGGCTTTTCAGGGAAGTTTTAAGACATCCTGATAATAATGAATTACAGTAGTCCAGCCTAGAAGTAATAAATGCATGAACTAGTTTTTCAGCATCACTCTGAGACAGGATATTTCTAATTTTAGAGATGTTGCTCAAATGGAAGAAAGCAGTCCTACATATTTGTTTAATATGTACATCGAAGGACATATATTGGTCAAAAATGTCTTCAAGATTTCTCACAGTGTTACTGGAGACCAAAGTCAGGCCATGTAGACGTAAGCGTTTGGTTAGACACCATGTTTCTAAGAAACAGAGTACAATTACCTCAGTTTTGTCTGAATTTAGAAACAGAAATTTAGAGATTGTCCACTTTAACTAATTAATGTTTGTTTTCTGGCTTTATGGATTACAGTGCATAGGACTGAAAACGTGTGCTGTGCCATTGAATGATACTGCCTAAGGGAAGCATGTATAATGTAAACAGAATTGGTAACAGCACAGAACCCTGTGGAACTAGATATTAATCTTAGTGTGTGAAGACAAGTCCCCATTTAGATATGATTTAAACTACTGCTGTGTAGTACCTTCAGCATGCTGTAATCGCTGTAATAAGACATTATGGTCAACAGTATCGAACGCTGCACTGAGGTCTAGCGGGACAAGCACAGACATGAGTCCACAATCAGAGACCATAAGAAGATCATTTGTAACCTTCACCAATGCTGCATACTCTGCCTCTTCCAAAGGAATTATAAGAGTAAGTCGCAGCCAAATGTTGCTCATGAAATGCACTTGAATAACTGATCATCAGCAAGTGTGAGCACCTCTATAAAATGAGAACTTTCGGCAGTTCAGGGATGTGTTGACAGAATGTGAAAAAGGAACGACATAATCAATGATCTTAGAGAAGTAAATGTTGCTGCCCATCAGTCTGGCAAGAGTTATAAGGTAATTTCCAAACAGTTTCAATTCCATCATTCTACAGTGAGAAAGATTATTTGAGTGGAAAACATTCCAGGAAGCTGTTGATCTTCCCAGGAATCCCACCAAATTCACCCCAAGGCCAGCCATTATAAACATCGCTCACAGGCCTCAGTTAGCTTCTTAAATGTTAACGTTCACGACAGTAAAAAAAAATAAATAAAAAAATAAAAAAAGAAGGCTCAAGTATGTTTGGAAGGGCTGCCAGGAGAAACATGGGAACGGCCCAGGTTTCCAAAGTTGCATCTGAATAAACCACAAGACTGTTTGAACAACATCCTTTGGAAAGACGGGACCAAGGCTGACACATTTGGCCATAATGCACAATTGGCTAAAATCAAACAATAAATCAGCACCAACCAACCAATCACCGTACCAGCTGAATAGGAGGGATGATGATTTGCACCTGTGGCTAATCTTAAGATATACTAAGAACCAGGTGATATTTTTTAGGTACACTCACACTCCTTTACCAGATTTCTCCAAAGTCTTTACATAAGTCTTTACATATGTTTACATGCACATTTTGCACTTAGCATTAATGATTTTTTTTAAATCTCTAGATTAAAATCTGAATGACTTAATCCTTTACAAGCAATCTGTGTATGCAAATGCTATAGGTCCCATCAGGACTCAAGGACTCCATGGAAAAATGCAAGACCTGAATATAACATTTACATAAATGCCTTCCGCAATCTATTTGTCAAGTGCTAACAAGAAGAGCATAATCTCCTCAATTAAAATGGCTAGTTCATACCATCCTCATACTCTCTTATCTTCCTGCATTGTCACTCATCATTCCCATTTGAAATCCCTGTACTTTGAAGAGAATGCTTGCTAGCACCTTCTATTTAAAAAGGACAACAACAAAAATGAAATTAAAAAAAACAAACGGTACCCACTGTGCTCAGGTATGAAAACAATGGTGAATAGCTACATTTTCCCTACTGGTGTGTGAGGTTTGAATTGAAAAATGTGAACCTACATGTTTTTCTGAAATTGACATTTTATAACGTTTGCATACATTCCAAAAACATTGCAAAAGCATAAAGCACCGTGTGGCTTGTAGGTTAGGAGCGGTGAGTAAGACTAGAAAAGTCTCATGTAGGGCATAATTTGGTTTAGTGTGACACCTAGTGGCGAAACCTTTTATTGCAGCACATCTCTGTGGTGAAAAGAGCCTGAGCCATATTGTCATTAATGTGTGGCAATATGTGGTAGTGATAACATCACAGTCTTTGTCTTTGGCACCAGAAAAAGGTGAAAATGGACCATTCCCCTTGCTAATGAGCAGAATTTTCACACGTTTCCCGCGGACAAAAACGTCTCCCAGAGAAAACATAACAATACATATATTATTTTATTTGCATGTTACATGGTGATTAACACAACATGTGTTCCAAGCTGTCTCCAGAAAGAAAAGGTTACTTTGCTTCGACATTTCATGTCACATTCAAATACAGAACACTGAATTCAAACAACTTTATTTTGTTAACATTTCTCATATACCTTTATTACATGTCATATTTTATTTTTTAGAAACTGACTTCAATTACCTTATACCATAATAAAGTAAAATAGAAAAAAAGGGACATTGCTGTGTCCTAATCCATGATTGAATCTTAATTCCCCGCGACAAAGGGAAGGAAGTACAAACATGATAGTTACATTTGCCTTTTAAACTTTTAAATGTAGAGTTGTATAAACACAATCTTATGGATTTGCTGACTTTACAACATTCTACAGTAGAAACATAATGCTGTATATACACACAGAGGAAGAGAAAAAAACAATCTAAACTTAATATAGAGGGTTACAAGTGTAACCATAGCTCAATGGAAAGTAGATAGTTAGCTGCTGGGCCAACTCATCATTTATCTCATGCCTCACATGTATGCCACTTTTCCAGCAGGTTAATCATATAAACAGATGAGTACACACGCACACATACACAAGCCAGTTCGGCGATGTTTTGAGGCAATGCTGAGTAGTAAACTACATAGCTGTATCTACAGTCTTGAGTAGATATCTAGGTCTGTCTGCAGGGGGTTGGTGCTGTGTCATTATAGGCTGGCTGTTGGTTTCTATGAGCAATGGAATAACACCAGATCTCCTTTTTTCTCGCTGCTTTATGGATAAGACAGAGCTCCATGGCTTTTACGTCAGTGGTCCTATAAGTCAAGTGCTTATTAGCTGGTTTTAACCCGCACGGAAGCACTTAGACTTCCACATCGGTGAGCTTAGTCTCATTGGAAAACACACCTGAATGGCAGAAATTCTAGACAATGACCTGTATGCAGGCTCATGAAATTAAATGCAGAACACAATTTGGGGATATCTGACCCAGCTTTTTTGGTCTGTCAGGGTCTCCCCCGCTGAAATAAAACAAAGAGACAACACATTTATTTTGTCTCTTCTGTAAAGCTCACTGGTAGCACAGACCATGTTTATGGAAACTGATCATGAAAAACTATTTCACCACAGCTACCAGATCATTCGGCTCTAATTAAGGTAAGAAGATAACTGCTGATAAACTACAATAGCGTCCTCAAGTATGGTTAAGTTAGAGCCTAAAAATCAATCTGCAGACTGCAGTATAAAAACACCAGGACTCATTCGCACAGTTGTAAAATAAAACCAAATAAGATAAAATAATAAAAAAAGCACGCAACACAATAAAAGTGTAAAAACAAGCAGCTTCTTTCGTATTCTAAGAGATCTGATCGCAAGACATTGTTTTCGTTGTGTCTCATGGAGCTAATGGAAATATGAATTCATAAATGCTTCAGTTTTGATTAAAAACGCGGTGGGTTTTCAGTCTCTGTAAGTCTCAGCTTAGACTGGAGCATTACCAACACTACACACACAGCCATGGCCTCAGAAGCATTTACAATGAGAGAACACACTGGGAACGAGTCTTTTAATGCGTGACAAGGATGACATTAATTACACGTGTGTTTTTACAGTACTATCTCGGCTTGGTTGTTTGAAAGAGCGGAGACCTGAACGCACACATCCAATCAAAGAGCTGAGCTGGGCACTGGAGTCCAAACGCTATTAGTCACCACCAGTGTCAGTGCTGTCTCTTTAACAGCTACGGCCTACGAGCTGCTCCCTTTGAAAGATTTTCTTCAAAATATCAACACGTAACATATTTATTTAACCATTTTGTTCATAAAGAAACTAACTCACTGTTCAGTCTAATCACTGGCAAAAGAGTGATTAGAAATCTTGCTGTAGGACACGGTGAGGTAACAGCACTATTATTCTCATTATTTCTCATTTGTTTGATTTTTTTTCCCCATAAGGCCTTCAGCACAGTGGCCTTGGTGACACTGAGGGGAACTGCATTCAGTATTCATTTGGTTTCTTCTGTCATATTAAATCTCAGGTATGCGTAAGAGCATTATGAAGCTCATAATACTCCCTCTGTTTAACATCATTTAAGCTAGCACTCATCTCGTTTCAAGGACAGGTACAATAATTACTGCACAGAATTATAAAAAACAAAAAATAACATAAAAAACATTGTTGTATAATGGGTATCTGCCAGGTCCAAAGGTCTGTATTTCACTAATCCTCAACAAATCACAACCATATTCAGAATCATGTAAAATGAGCTTTTTTCATATATAAGGACAGTGGATTCATGAGGTGCACACAAAATAATACCCCCAATATCTATATATTATGATTTTTTCTGTATCATTTTCGTATGAAAACACGTGTTTTTGATTAAGAGAAAAACAAAAAAGTAAGTCATTCATTGGTGTCATACATTTTTATCCAAATTCCAGCAGTAGGGATAAAATGATCCTAAAACTCATCGACTGAATGCAAACACTGCTCGGTGCAGCCTCTGAGACAAACTGCACATCATGGTTTTCTTATCATAGAGTAATACAAAATTTTACTATGTACAATACGCATCATTATAACCTACTGTGTGTTTCTCTTCCCTGTTCTCTTTTTTGTTGTTGTTTGTAAGTGAGAGTCTAGAAAGAAAAAGAAAAACAGGTAGTTTTTTGGAATAATGGGGAAGGGTCGCAAGATATCACAGAGCTCCAGACAGACTCATTTCTTCAGGTTTGTTTCTGTTCCCATATTTCTGGGCTCCGCTTGCAATGACACTGATTGCAGAGGTATCTGCCTAACACTATATCTGTGTTTCAGCACAGTAGCATCAAATTACAGCTCTAATCTCATCGCAAAAGCAGCCGTAGCAGTTTCCCTTTGAGTTTCACATGTGTTAGTTTGAAATTTACGTGTATATTTGGCAGATGCTTTGCGTGTTTCTCATTAATGCACTGGTTATAAACACTCGGTTAAATCTACGCTTTAAGTTAACATAATACATCTAAGGGAGTAAGAAGAAATACACCTCATGTCTTCAGTAGTCCTAGAGACAAATGATTGTTTTCTTGGTGTCCCTGTGAGCCAGGCCACCTTCATTTTTATTCCCATGTAGACAACAAAAAAACAAACAACCCCCCTCCCAAAGCCCGACCCAGACCCAGAAGACAAGATAAAGCAGAAACAAAAGAAGTGCATACCAATCAAAAAGAACAATGCAATTCTTTAAAAAGCACTGTTTGCTTGTTTTGTCCTTCATTTTACTGTTTTTTGTTTTTTTGTTGTTGTTCCTAAAACATTTTACTCATAACCCATCGTTTTTTTCCACACCTGTAAGCAGTGCTCGACAGCACGTAAGGTTTCTGTATCATGATGCAAACAGTCTGGGGAAGAGGGCGGCAAAGTTGGTAATAAGGTAGCAGTAAGGATGCCGGTGAGTTGGAGAGAAGAAGAAGAAGAAGAGCGAATGGGGCGGAAGGCCAAGGTGCGAGGCCGGGGGGAGAGAAGGGGAAGGATAGAGGGCAGGGGTATTAACACTTCAAGAAAAGGCAGGCGAAGGAGGCTAGCAGGAGCCACAGTGATTGAGATACACAGGCAGAGCCGTTGATATCTCTGCCTGTCCCGGGTCCTGTGTGGAGAAGCAAAGAGAGAAAGGCAGCAGGGTTAATGAGAGCTCACTCAGACTTCTAGAGCAACCACAATATTGGTTTGAACAAGAAAAAGAACAATACAGTTTTATTTCCTTTTAATCCTGCACAAAAAAGGGTCATTGCATCGCTGTTCTGTTGCTAGCAGACATTCTACACAGTAAACTGGAAAATATACATGTGTTTGTAGCCTTTTGCAGGAGTTTTTGGTGACATCTAGTGGCCATGTTGTGCCATTGACGCTGTGTTATTCAGTGATCATTCAATGCTATAAACCACAGAGGAGGCATAAACTAGTGAGCCTGCTGATCAAGCTTAATATGACAGAAAAAATAAATAACTGCAGTCTTGTTGCAGAATACAGGAAACTGCAAGCTGCTGGATTAACAACTGCCTGTAATACTTGTTGCCATGTTTGTAGCTCATCAAGCTAAGTTAAGTCAGCAGTAGCCAGGCTATCAGGTAAGGTATATGATCAGTGAAAATCATGTGATTTGAATGCTAAACAAACACAACTAAAGTAAATTTTACCTGCTAGTTGCATATAATAATTGCAGAACTTGTTTGGGCCCTCCATATGTTGCATTTCTACCAAGTTCATGATATGGAAAGTAAAAATTCCTTCACATTTCCCACAAACTGGCTTTTTATGACTTTTGATCTCTACAGCTTTCTTCCACCACTCTTCTGCACAAGATTTATGGAGCGAATAAACCGACATTTAGACAGTATTTTGAGTGTAAAAGAAACACTTATCACCTTTTCCTGTGTGTCAGTCCAGTAAAATAAATGTTAGATGTCACTAAACTCAACAGAAACACAGATCTAACTTATCCAAAGGAAATATTGTCATGGACTAATGTTGATCTGTATCCAGGTGTTCTGTGGGACTTTTGTTATTGTTTTATTATATATTACTACTTTGTTTCTATATGTTGGCACTTTCTTTCTTTCTTTGGAGAATCACGAAAAAGGAAGTTTTATTGCCACCAAAAATAAATTGATCATCTCTTTTAACTTTCAAACATGTTTCCCTTTTGATCAAATCCCAGTCTGCAGTGTCAGTGCAGATGTCTTCCTTTGGGAGCTAGTCTCCATTTGGCTTTGCCTCCCTGCCACAATTTCATCTTCTTACAGCTTTTAAGTGCTGGCAGAGACAATGAGACACATTTGTCACAGTGACTGGAGCCACTGCTGGCCACAGGAAATGTGGGTTTGTTGCATATTATACATGCACCCATCATTTTGAAGTGTGTTGTTTTTGAGTGCAGTTTGATATAAAATTCAAATGTTGGGTACACGACGGCCCTCTGAGCTCAAAGCAGCACTGTGCCAGCCAGGCTTTGGGGTGTGAAAGCTCAAAGAAAGCAATTCAAACAGCATTAATTTTGTGCTCAGTGAAACAACTGTGTGGGATCTCTGACAGCTGCCAATGTGAAAAATATGATATTAACAGCGAACCATAAAAGTAACGGTGGAATCATCACCCGGCTCTGCGGCCCTGCGCAGCTTCACGATTCTTCAGGCTGAACCATTTACGAGCGCTGTTTATTCCTCGATCTTCTCAGCAACCCCCACATGTTCTCATTACCAACAAAACAACTCTGATAACCCCGCTGTATGCCATTTGATGCCCAGCTGCCGACCGTGTTTGAGCAGCTAAAGAGCCTTATATTCAGAAAAACCATGAAATCAATAGTCTGTAAAATAAATCAAAGTGGATTTAACCACTGCTCCAAATAAAAGAACTCCAAATTGACACCAGCGCTGCTCTTGTGGATCTGGATGTCTGAGAAGTTTAGGTGCCAGAGACGTGTGTGTGATTGGGTATGTCAGCTTGTTAACATGCTTTTTTATACCCTCAAGTGGCCAAAAATCAGTGATGGAACTAGAACGCTTCATGAATATTGCAAACATTTACATGCTTATGAATGCAGCTCAGTTATTAAAGACATCCGCACTGTGATCTAATTTTAGTTTTGATGCTTGTGAATTGAGACAAGCTTTGGTTACATCTAGCCCGACCCCCCTTCTTCCCTTTTAAATCTTCACCACCGAGCTGAGGGTGCCTTTGTGTGTCTGTCCCATTCTTGGGTGCTGAAGGTGGATTAGGACAATCTGGGGGGACATGCTACTGTTCTGGGAGAGTCTTCTCTCTCTGTGTCTGTGTTCGTTGGTCTTTCCTTTATGTGTGTTAGCATTCTTGAGTTTTGCCTCTTGGTTTTTCTGTAGTCTGACCCCTCTCCATGTCCTAATGAACCATATGCTTCACTTAAAATAAGTTTGTTCACCTTTGGAAAGGAATATTTTGCTTTTCCTGAGGTTTTTTCCCATTAATAGTTCTTTTGTGGTGTTTTTTTTGCATGTTTAAATAAAGTTTCTAAGGGCAGAGACTGCATCACAGAGCACAGAAACAGACTTGGCTTCTCTTTGACTTTAGTCTGAAACTTAAAACTTTTCACCAACTGCCAAAAGCTCATTTCATTCTCCCGCTCGAGCCATCTTTCCTAAATTTCTCTAAGTGTTCAGCAAAATTGCTCTCACGCAGAGTTGAGAACACAGTCGGCCAAATGACTAGAAATGAACACACAGTGAGCTCTTTACTTCTCGCAGTCGTTCAGCACCGAAGCTTAAAGCAGAGCACACAAACTGCAGCGAACTGCTGCTCTTCTGGTTTTCAATAGTTCAGCAGGAAATTAGGTTAATAAACTTAACACTTAACCTCCATATTCATTATCCTTTAGGTGATTTTTTGTGACAGAGGACAGGAAAAAAGAGGTGCAGTAAAGGAACACCCAGGCATCTGCAACAGCATTATAGCGTATGGGCTGCCTGCTACGCCCAGTGAGCAAAACCAGCACCCCAGGTGACGTCTTGGTCATACATGGTGTAGTGATGATACTATAGTCTTATTGTTATATATGAACACACAGGGACTGCATAGAAAGGGGTGGAGGATACGTGCTCAGCCTGAGTATACAGCAGCTTAACTAAGGGACCAGCCCCATAAATGTTACAGAGAAGAAAAAGTTTGAGCTTAATCTTTAAAGCAGAGAAGGTGTACGCCTTCCCAAATAATCTGGACACTGCTTCCACAGAGAGATACTGATAGCTGAAGGCTCTGCTTCCCATTCTACTTTAAAAAACTGGCAAATTCAAGTAAGCCTGCAGTTTGAGAGCGAAGAGCTCTACTGGGACAATGTGATACAATGAGGCCTTTAAGATATGATGGAGCCTGGTCTTTCAGGACTTTGTACGTGAGGACTTTGAATTTAATTCCTTGATTCAACAGAGAGTCAATAAAGAGAAGCCAATATCGGAGAAATATGACCTCACTTCTGTGTTTTCAAGGCTTTTCAGGGAGCTTTTAGGACAAATGGTTAACAGAGAATTCGAGTAGTCCACCCTGGAAATAACAAATGCATGGACTAGTTTTTCAGCATCACTCTGAGACAGGATGGTTCTAATTTTGACATGATCAAATCAAATCAATTTATTTATATAGCACTTTTCACAGGATAAAAACCACAAAGTGCTTCACAGTAATATAAAACAGAAATACATAAAATACATTAATAATAAAACACACAGCACAAATCTAATTAAAAGCCAATCTAAATAAATGAGTCTTAAGTTGCTTTTTAAAAGAATAAATACAATCAAGGCAACGTAATGATGGGGAGAGCATTCTACAACCTGGGGGCCACCGCTCTAAAAGATCTAAGTATCTGGTTAGACATGTTGCTGAGATTTTTATGGCCAAATACAGCAACTCTAGCTTTGTCTGACTTCACAAGCATAAAATCATAGGTCACCCAGGTCTTTATGTCTGTAAGACATGCCTCTAATGTCACATTTAAATAGCACATGGAAGTAGTGAGGGTGGTGAGCAGGTCTACCAATCAGAAAGTTGGTGATTTTATTCCCATCTACTCCAGCCTGTTTTGAAGTATCCTTAGGGCAAAATACTGAATCCAGAGTTGCCCTGAGGGTGTGTGGGGGTTAGACAAGTGCTTAGCTATATAAAAAAGTGCTTGCATGAATATATGTGTGATTGGCTGAATGAAGCTTGTAGTATAAATCACTTTGATCGCTCAGTTAGAGTAGAAAAGTACTCTATAGGTACTAGTCTATTCACCATTTTATTGTGTATATACTCACTATAGAGGAAAAGGCTGGCATTCTGGACGCCCAGTCGGTTTGAGGCCACGCAGGTATAGTTCCCATAATCCTCTTCAGTGATGTTGGCAATCGTGAGACTAGTGGTAGTTCCAGAAGTTTGGATGGTGATGCTCTGGGTATTAGCCAGCCTGGAGAGGAGACGTAGACCAGACAGTTTTAAGAAACTTCAAAGTAACAAAGATTAAAATTAGGTCTTGAAACCAGAAACCTTGAAACAACATTCAAAATGTCTTTACAAAGTGATACATTATATATGTCCATATGTTTTATAATCATGTCTGCCTGCAATGTTTTGCTAATGGACTGTTACTGTACTGGAGTAAAGGTCTTCAGATAGCCAAGCCCATTAATTACATTCCAAAACAAGTTGTACCTTCTAGCCGGCCGTTACTTTGCATCAGCGGGGGTCACGCTGCTGAACTCTCTGAGCGTAGGCGTTGTGGCTGCTCAGAAGAGCGAGATAAGCCTTTCTCATTTTGGAACAAATCTTTTTCATTAACAGTTTGATAGGACGCTGCATTTTACCAGCAGGTGAATGCAGCGTCCTATCGAGCAAAGAGAACAACATGCAGTTCGCATAAGAATACTTTCAGTTGTTTTCGTCCAGATGAAATACCAACACGCTGCTAGCGACCGTCACACTTCTGACTGTCGCTGATGTCAACCTTGAACCCCACTCACAGCAAATGAATCAATACAGCTTTTGCTGACTCAGACTGTATACCTTGCTGATGAACTGCTCCTTATATTATCACGACTAAATAAAACTAATTTAACGCCACGCCGTGCATAATGGATTCGTCTTGTTCTGGGCTGATTGAGCGCTTTCATATCATGAATGAGGTGAGGCTCATTCAAGGCGCCTCAACTTAATCCTACTTAAGTCGGGGTAATGTGGTAATCGGAATTCGAGCAGAGGAGCGAGAAGTTTGTGCTGACACATATGAGGCTGATAGGAAGTATTAACATAAAAAGGAAACGGCACATCATGGCACAGCATAATTTGGTTTGCCGGGGTGCTGCGGTGGCGGCGGCGGTAGGGAGTGTTGAGGTCCTTCCAGCAGGGACACCTTGGGAGTGCTGGGAACAGTGTGTGTGTGCGTTTGAAAGTAAGAGAAGACAGGGCAAGTGCACCGGCACAGTCTCCCCCTCCCTCTCTGATGATAAGGCCAGCAGCAGAAGATATATTCTCCAGTGTGTCTTCATGAGAAGTGACTGCACTATTAAAAAGGCCTGCCTGCCTACGGAGCATGCTGAGCGATCTAGATAATGCACAGCACTACAGGGAGCTGAAAACAAACACCTATGTTTGTTTTTTTTACAGTAGATTGCAGCTCATGATTTGTGATGCTCTGGCAAGAGTCTGAATGGACGCAGACAGAAAAGATAGAAGTCTCTTTTGTTTTCACAGTTTGCTACAAAGGCTGTTAGTTCACTTAACCAGCTGCAGAAAACTACGATGTTATAATAAAAAAAAATTAAAATGGATCTGTGTCCTCCCAGAGTTCACCTTCTCCATATTTGCATTTATGGAGCTCAACATTTTAACTTTTAACGCGTTGGCACACGCAGCTTCACGACTTCCATCACTTCTGATTTCAAGTTCATCCTCAAATATGCCTGTGTGTCTGCCAGGTTCTTCATCTGGCATAATACACTGGAATATATTATCTGAAATTTGGCAGGAGCTGTGGATGTCAACCTTTTTTTAACCCCCCCC